TGCAGGCATGCAGAATGTAGGAATTGTGGGGTTGCAAAAGTTTCTACTCAGGTTTTAGGCAGTGAGGCAGGCTTACAATGCCTGAAGGCAGTCTCAGAAAAGGTAGTATGTGGAGCTTTAAGAATAAAGCTAAAGATGCTATGGAGAGCCCAGAAAGAGATTCCAGAAATAGACCATCTCCAGAGCAAAGCCACAGACAAGGAGCAGAGACAGTGCAAAAGAATGGCCACGTAGGATGGATGCAGCTAGCAAGGCCACAGGGGCAGGGCTGCCCAACACCTTTGGGGCCCACATCCCATTATCACACGGACATATGCTGGACACGGAGCTACTGGATTTAATGTTTGCCCTGTTATGTTTTGGTCTTGTTTTGTTCTGATCCTTCCTTGGCATTCTCCTATTCCTTTCTTTTGGAATGGGAATGATTATCCTGTGTCATTGGTTGTTGGAATAATGCTTTTGATTTTCACAGGGCTTATAGCTAAGAGTCTCAGAGGAGACTCTGGACTCGATTTTGGAGTAATGACGGAACTGTTGACTATGGGAATTCTTGGAGATGGACTGAATGCAATTTGTATTGTGAGGTGGACATGAGCCTTTGGGGGCTAGAAGCAAAATGTTAAAGTTGGACCTGGAATATTCCCCCAAGGCTCATGTGTTGAAGGTTTGGGAGGTGGTGAAAACTTTAGGACTTGGGCCTTAGGTGGAGGAAGTAGGTAACTGGGAGCATGCCCTTGAAGGGTATATCTTGTCCCCAGTCTGTTTCCTAAAACCAAGGGTGAGCTTCTTTGCTGTACCATGTGCTCCTCACCATGATGTTGTCTCACCACAGACTCAGAAACAAAAGAGTCAGGTGACCATAGACTGAAATCTCCTCTTTTTGTTTTACTCAGGATCGCAACAAAGGAAAGCTAACCAACACAGTTCCCAGAATATGCTCCAAGCTGTCTAATTCCAGATCCACATATACAATTGCCTCCATCTCCTCCCAGGACAGCGCTCACAGGATAGTGTTCACATATGAAGTTGTGAGCCTCATTCCACCCAGCTGGTCCCTTCTCCAGAGTTGAGCAGGGAAGCCCCTGCTTAGTTCCCTGCCTTGCTTAACTCAAGTATGCTGAAAATCCACTTAATATCTTCCAAACCCATCACTTCTCTCCATCTCACAGTCCCATCCTATCCTCAATCACTCTCACATGTTCCATTGTACAGTTTTTCCTGAAAATGTTCTCACTCCAAAATACTTTTTCCCCAAGCTGCCACAGAAACTTTGGATTTAAATACATACCTGAAATTCAGCAACTCTACTCCTGGTCCTATCTACACCAAACAAAAATCAGACACGAGCAAGAGTGTTCACAGTAGTACCATCTGCCAGACAAATCTGGAGGCACCCTACATGCCCATCAGTCCATCCGATGAGTAAGGTGTGGTGTACCATACAGCAAGGACAGCAGATGAACCACAACATGCAAACTGAGAGGAATCTTGCAAGGAAAGCTTGCACGCTGTATGATCCCACTGGTGGTATTCCAGCCTACGGTCATCCACGGAGGGAGTCAGGGCAGCAGTGCCCAAGGACCTTCCAGGTTTGGTGCTGGACTATATCCTTGACCATGACCCCATTTCTCAGGTTGTGCTGCTTTGTGAATTTTCACAATTGCTCTTTTTCCTTGTATTAACTCTACCTCATCAAAAAAACATTCTCAGAAGGAATTTAGCTCATCCCTGGTTGTGTAACCCTCTAGCCTGCTCCAAACCAGGAGTTCCCGTCCGCTGTGGGGTTTCCCCCTTCCGCGGGGGCTTTGTAGTCCCCATACTCTGGGCTCTGCCCTTGGAACCGCCACCCCATACTCCTCACTCCATCCAGTCCCTCAGGGATTTCTGCTCCTGGGGACCCCGCCC